ACCTGCTAGTCGCTGAGTGCGTCGGAGGCATGTATACGATCATCGTATATTCATACATATGTTCATGCCTGAACAGATACTAAATATAAATCTACTTAGCTACGTTTAATAATTAGTTACAAAATAATAATTAGAATTCCAATATTTCCTTGGGAATAACTCAGTTGTTCAGTAGAATGCAACTATATTTCAATGAACATGGCCAGAATAGTCTGTTCAACTATTCAAATTATCCTATGTAACCTATACATATGTATAAGTATAAATCTTTTTTATAGGTGGGATAATCTGCTAATTCTAAGAACTCAGAGCGGCAAGAAACCAAAATTTAGATACAGTAAAATAGAAATTAAGTGAACAAAATAATACTTGGACCACATTGACTACCATCCAAAGATTATTCACATTTTTTCTTTTCATATTATTACTACATGTATTGCTTATTGTAAAGAAAACAGTGCAATGATAAATGCTTAGTTTTGAAAAGCCTTTGATTAAGGTGAGCTTTGTGATAGAGCTTAGACTTTAGGGAATGCATTTATTCACATATATTTATATATCATCAAATCCATAATGAATGATTCTTAAAATATTTGTTGCATTTTTGTAATATTTTAATTGAAAATATTTTCGACTTTTTTCCAGATTTCCCTTCAACAAAGTATGCATAATTCATCTTCTTGGAATTGCATTATGTATAACATATAATTACATACATACAAAAAAAAGCACAAGTAGCCCTGGATAGTTTGTAATCTAAAACACGTATATACATACATAAGTGATGCATTATGTCTGTACTTGAAGCGCTTATAAAATTTTGAAATCCAAGACATAATGATCGATAATAATCGATCTTTTTCTATCTGTTTTCAAGCGTACCTATAATTATGCATTTACCGGTTGTAAATGTTTTTGTTTCTCGATAGCTCTCCCCACCTGTAACCACCTTTGAAAGATAAGAAGCGTCTCCTAATTCGCAGGGCCTTGAAAACTTGAAGTCAATATAAAAAAATTTTTGAGCAACTAGTTTCTTATATTAAAGCCAATCTGGCATGTGGGCATATGTTGTATCTTTGCTGGGGGGGATGAGAGTATCGCCCGACTGCCCATTCGCACTTGCGCTGATAGAGACGAATGTTCTAGCGGGGGGAAACTGTTGCAATCTATTGTTGTATCTCATGTTTGCATTTGTGTATGTTAACATCTCTATCTACATAAGCTGACTTCTTGTCTAATCTTCAACACCAATGCAGGGTGGATCACCAATACCCAAACCGCAATCGCATTTCTCAGATGTGGAAGCACCATTGTTGTAGCATTCATCGTTCCTATGAATGACAACACTTTGAACTCCATCCATGTCGGCACTCCGACTTTTCTGGCTGACACTTGGAGACGGTCGCTCCGTTGCTGACATACTTATAGTACCGACTCCGATTCCAACTCCGACTCCGATTCCGACTCCAGTACCATAGCATGCGTCTTCAGAATTCAATACAATTGGAGTGCGACTATATCCGGAACTAGTCAGTACTCCCTCGGCTGCACCTGCACCTGTTCCGGTTCCCATTCCCGTTCCCGTCCCCGTAACCGTTCCCGCTCCTAGTCCCGCTCCTGTCGTTGCCGAGCGCCTATACACAGTGCTGTTCATTGTCAACTTGCGAACATTTTTGTCAGGATGAAACACCAATATATACACCTTGGGTGAGTAAAGACAGACGAGGGCAACCGAAGCACTCAAGCTGATCGAGATGCAGAGCGTAGTTATTTGGATCTGCAAAAAGATTACAAATTCCAATTAGATGTAGATTTTGATATAGATTATTACTAGTACCTAACGAGCATTCAATATAACCCAACTGGTCTCTGTCTTCTAAAAGTCCCTTCGGAGTATTTGTTTGCTCCCCTTCTGGGCAAAGAGTATTTTGCCTCTGTGCTTAGTTAGCTTTAATCAGTCATTCAAGCAGCCCTAGTTATGCTCATTCCCGAAAGTAAATTAAATATCCGTCTTGTCCGTTCGTCTGTCCATCTATCTGCCTGTCTGAGACCTCAAATTTGGAACACATACTCGTGAATACATATCTCCTATTTATAAAGTGTTAAAATTTGATCCTGATCCGCCTACTAGGGGCCAGAAATAAAATTAGTTGAAAAGCTAGAAAGCTAAAATGTGATGTGATGTGAATAAGTATTCCGTAATCGGTAACGCCCGACAGCAACGTTTGTTGTTTTTTAATTATATCAGTAAGCCTCAACTCCAACTAGCGCCTAAGCCATCACATCTCTAACAGTAAAAGATAAACCCATTTTCTCTTATAAAGAGTCAGCTCAGAAGCAATTTATACTCTTTACTAAATCAGGTCTAAGCAGGTTCGTTGTTCTCGCATATTCTTCTTATCATTCTTATTTTTATACCCTGAACCCATTGAAAATGGGAAATCAGGGTATAATGGTTTT